CCATTCCCGGTAAGGTATGCTCTCGGGAGAGCAGAGAGAGACCCGAATCGGGGCGCCCCAGCCCCGAACAGGAGAGCATACCTTACGGCCTCTGAGACCATAGAGCTGAGGGAATTTTGGTTCTTGGGAGTTGAAGGCAGGACATCTGTGGCTTATTGTAGCAACTGCCCAAACTGCAGGTATGTGATCAGTATTGGGAGAAGAAAAAAATCACGTCATATTATTGACACTGGCCCCGGAATATACTGCCTCACGATCTTTGGGCTCTCATGGATTTCCGCTATATTTCTTGGAAGCGCTTATTCCATCGAGACCCATATGGCCCACCACCCACGCCCCATCGCTCCCTCTCGCAACAGAACGATTTGTAGCATCATTCAACTCGCTTGCATGCGATCGGTTCTTGCGTTCTTCATTCGCCATCATCATGGACGTCATGTCGCTTGCAGTCTTTTTGCTTGAAACGTTCATGTGTTCGGCGAACACTGCAGGCGTGGGAATGGTAAAAAACGACGCGATGTCGAAATGCTTTAAGATGGTTGTTTGCTGCTGGTTGCTGTTTACTGTTTACTTAGTTCATTTGTATACCAGGTCGACTACTCATTTGGATATACTTTTACATACTTTTGCTGTTCATCTTCCACTACTGTTTCCTCCCCTTCTTCCAATTCCAACGACATCGACAGATGATCAAAAGGCAAAAGAGATGAACTTGAAGTTGCCTTCTCCAGTCCCATTGTGAAGGAGATGCTAATATATTTCAATCAAAATTCGATCATTTTGCCGTGACCGAGGTTCCGAGGACTTCATGAAATCGATCAGAACTTGACTATCAGTCAATCATTTTGTCTAGGATATTTACACTCGATTTTTGCTTTCCAATCGTGAGTCACCTCCTTCGTGGTCATGCAAGAGCGAAAACTTCTATTTCCCTAATGTTTTGTTGAGTATTGAGTATCAGACTTGATCGGACGCCTGATCAACCGAGAAGATAAACGTTCCAATCAGGCTGGCGCAAATGGAGAATGGGCTTTCCGTCAATCATTTCGTCGCTCGTGACCGCTCGCTATCTCCAGCTTGGATTCCAATTTTGTGTTCGCTTCGAAAACAGTCTGGGGGGGGGGCACTGAATTCAAAATTGTGAGCAACCAAACTACTGTTTCCCTTATTATCATTTTCCTTGAAGCATTCATTGGGTACTACAAATTAGACCCGNGTGAAGAGACATAGTTACCTCTGACATGACGCCTTACCAATTGCTTCTTACCTTCTCTTTCTCGGTATGCGTTCTGAGACCATGGAGCTGAGAGACTTCTGGTTCTCGGGCGCTGAAGGCAGGTCATTTATGGCTTATTGTAACAACTGCCAAAACTGTAGCTACCTTGGTACCGAAAGATGTGCATCTCTGATCATAGTGTCGCATTCAGGTAGGTGATTAGTATTGGGAGAAGAAAAAAATCACGTCATATTATTGANTGAGCAACCAAACTACTGTTTCCCTTATTATCATTTTCCTTGAAGCATTCATTGGGTACTACAAATTAGACCCGGGCGCATGTGCTTATCTCCTAAGCCTACGAGCTTTCTATGTTGCCCTCAATCTCAGCAGTAACCATCCATTAGAAATTCAATCCCTCTCTCGAATGGGTTTAGCGCGCACCGGACTTTTCGGGCTGAGCGAGCTGATTATTTAGCAGTAGACTTGGATCATACTTATAGATGCTGCGGCTTAGCCCTATGTATGAAAATCATTGGCTAAAATTCTAAAATTACTCATGGGCAGATTCCGTGGTAACCGGTACCGGAATGAGGAGAACGCATGGTGTCATATTGGTTACTATACCTTGAGGCGTAGTCGTCGTAATGTTATAGCGAGAAGGGACTGAACTTCGTTCTTCTTATACGGTATTGACTTTGATCGGTCCTTTTCCCTGCACTTATCACTCACTTGTTGTTAATTTAATTTATCGCCCCTCCTATCCAAGGAAACATATCATCATATCAAGGCTACTCCCTCCCTTTGTGTTCTCACTTTGAATCGTGGCGGCGATTACTTGTTGTTATTATTGTTTGCCATTATTGTAGCTCACTCACTCACTCACTGGAGTGTATAAATAAACAAACAAATAAATAAGTCTCCATCTGTCGCTTGCTCAAGAGCTCTCCCTCCTGCTCTCACACATCCTTCTGGTTACGTGAATTCATTCCGGCAGCGGTCTGCACAAGCTGCAGGTGGAATGCAGGGTCAGTTGGATCACAATTCCCCTCGGATGACTAATCGTCCCATTCCTGCTCGTAAAAACCTGATTTAATCAGATTGAGCTCCTCTTTGCAGCGCCTTCCCTCCCTCCTCCCACTTATCCCATTGTGTGGGCCTAAAAGCATTGGGCATACTTGAATAGTGTGAATCAGAAATCAATGGGTGGGTGTTCAAGGAATCACCAATGCAGAGAAGCCATCAGAATGCGTTGTAAGGTGGTTGCCGTCACCTTTAGCCCTAATAGCTTTGCTTCCACTGTCGTATTTTCCTTCTTATCACATCCAACTTGGAAGCGTTTCTGAATTCAGATAGTAGGTACATCAATCTCACTTACTGTTACTGACAATGCCCCTACACAAGCATTTTTCGTACCGCTAGGCCATGCAAGCGCCTCATTCTCCAGCCATGCAACCTAGTCCCTTCAGCTTTAAGGACAAGATAGATTTTGCAGTGCATGAGTCGTGTAATGAAAATCAGTGAGCTATGTAGAAAGCACCTGGACGCCAGAGTAATAATGGCTGAAGGTGCTTCGGGGAAGTAAAGACGGTAAGCTCACACGGTTAGGGGAAGCGGTGCGAATCCGAGACCGTGCTGGACCGTGAGCAATCACTCAAGCGAGAACCTCCATCTTTAACATTTATCCACAAGACCCACGTACTTCGAAACCTCTTCATTGATCTATTGCTATACCTTAGTACCAAAAAACGGCTTTATTCCCATTACGAATAGAAAGGGTGAAGCCTGTCTTCGATAGTACGTCCAGGAATGTTCGCGCGATTCATGGCAGTGCCATCAGGATCGGTCATACTCTATCTTGTCCTTCTCGCAGTGAACCCGCTTTATTAGGTCAACGTTTTGATAAATCGTCGTCTTTAAGGGCCTGGAAGTGTTTTGGAGTTACTAAACTGTAGCTTAACCAGACGTGCTACTTAGGAGATTCGAGCCAAGCGACGAACCTCCTGCAGTTCAATGGACGTCATCGATCCTACTCTAGAATAGAATGTAACTAATTGTAAGAACTCTTCAACGTCCATTTATGCAAAATACGGTTTGTGGGATACAGCTATACTCCCTACAGGCCACTTTCCATAACGGAGTGAAGGACATTATCTCTTGTGGAATAATCGGAAATCATAAATTTCTTTGCGATTGAGCACCGATAAATTTCATCTTACATGACGTGTCAAATAAAAATCAAATTCTTAACGGAGAATGCAAAATCTTTTTCTTATGCATTTCATGCCGAAAATGTCATTGATGAGGAAATTCACACTCTAAATTTCCATCCTACAGCCTTACGACTTCGTTAAAGAAGAACGGTGAGCGGATGGAGAATACTCATGTCTTTGAATAATGTGCTCGACTAAAGATTGCTATATATGTTGTGGAATATTATTATGAAGGTTTGAACAAAAAAAAACTTTCATCTCCACTATGCCACCGTTGCCTGAACCTTCTGATGAGCGTAACGTAAAGGCTCCACTAAAGTTTCCCGGTCTCCCNGTTTCTTATCCCGTAACGTCAAACGCAGGCCCCTTCTTTTTCTAAAGCGAATTAGAAACAGATTGAAAGTGATTTAGTGAGAAACTGGATTCCCACCTTCTGACATCAGTCATTCTCTTCGACTTGTGGGAAATCAAGTGACTAGTGGAAATGAGGAAGAGCGATTTTAATGCGAGAGGGAACAAAGCAAAGATTTCCGTAGTTTTTTGTATCATGTCTACCCGTTCACGACATTTAACAGAGAACAGACCCGGGGCCATACACTCAAAGTTAGAAAGCCAAAGTCAGTACAATTTACGTTTTTTCGGACTGTTTCCTGTGAGCAACGTTATTGTTTGATTTTTTGCTCATTTTGTTCTGCATTGAATTTTTTTTGCTTCGATTAATAGTCGCATAATATCATTGCAATAGCAACATCATTGAGCATTCTGTGCCATGGCTCTCGCTAGTTTTTGTTGACCCTTTCAGAGCGGGCGCCAGAATTAGTTGCTTTTTCTAAGAGGGAATTTCAACAAAGAGGATTATTCTGATGTCAGTAGTGTCGTTGTTTACTGAATGGATGCCAAGGTCTTGTCTTGCAATAGTATATTCAAAGGTGAGAATGAAGCTTGAAGCATCCTCCACACTAGCATCTCGCCCTACATAGTTGAGGTCTCGTGTGGCACTGCATGACTTTGTTCTTCTTACCGCAGAAGAAAATGTTAAGCGACCGAGAATTTTTTTGAGATCCACTTTTTACTTTTATTTTTTACTTTTAAGATTTTATTTCAGAGCTTACGAATCTTGTATAAATGTACTGAAGAGCGGCGATCACGTTGAAAATTTATATAATAAAAAACTCATATTTGTTTTGCACGAGCGTAGGATGTGCAGTGGCAAGGGACGTACTAACATCCCTCCTACGCGTGGCCAATGGTTCTAAGCTCTCCCCGGCCGAGCCGTGCATCCATCTAGTCTCGGTGGAACCGACATATTTCGACGAATATCGCCGTCTCAAAATCATGGCAGTCAATTCCTGCTCTCAGCATCTGTTCCTTGTTCTCTTCTAGAATGACCAACGATTTTTGTTATGGTAGTCAACTAAGGAGTTTCTGGATTTTAACCTTTGTGAAGTGCGACCGTACGTGGAAAGCTGTGTCGAAAAGGATGTTTTCCGCTTGCAATGCAGCCGCTTTTCCGTCATAATCGAAGTTTAGTGTCCTTCATAACAATTCAAGAGAGCTTGATCGGAAATCAACTATCGACTAGTGATGCTTCCAGGCGCATCATCTCTAGTTTCCTCGATCATCGACTCTTCAGGCGGAGCAGGCTGGTGTTCTTCTAACATGCCTGAGGCTCTAGACGCTCTAGACCAACGGTCTTCATGTAGTGGCATCACGATCGGATCCATTACGGAAATGCAAACGTCTGCGTCTCCGCTCCTTAAGTGACTCGGCATCTCTGAAAACTTCCGTATGCGTTGGGAAATTGTGATGATTGTCCTTACCACAATGCGATGGATGACGAATATCTTTTAGATCTTTGCCATTACAAATAAAAATGAAACATCAGGCGGAGACCAGTTTGCTTTGCTATTCATCACTTATTCGTCATCCGTTCTCCATTCGATTGCGCATTCGATCTCTACATTATGTAGCGGAGCACAGTCGATGAGTCAGTGGTAGTAGTCTTAAAAGGCTGAACTTTCGAGAATTCAATCAACCCGTCCGAGGAATGCGCCCCTGCATTTGACTTCTATTCGAAATCGCGTGGCGTTTTGTATGCGTATGTGGCTTATACAATGACTTGCGGTGGCCAGCCGATGTACAAGTCAGTGCTTTTATCCTCTCAGACGAGTCTGGTACC